TACACTACAGAAATTAACTCATTAAAGCACGAGATACAAGATAAAGAGAAACATATAATTAGATTAACGAAGAAGGCCAAGGATTTTGAAGAAGATGTTTTTGAATCTGAACAAAGTTTCATAGAGGAGCAAAATTCTTTTAAAGACCAATTGAAAAACCAAAAAGAAAGAATGTGTACACTACAAAAAGAAATAGTCGACGCAGAAGAGAAGAACAAAAACCTTCAGAAACAGATGGACAGTTATGAACAAATGACAAAAGACATGCAAACAGAGATGACGAAGCTAAAAAATATTCATGCCGATATGCTGAAAACCATTAGTCTTTTGGAAGAAACAAACAATGCATACTCAAGGAAAATAGGCGAATTAGAAGAAAGAACAAAAGAAGACAGGTGTCGATTGTCGGAGAACACTGAAGGAAATGCCAACGATCAACAGAATATATTAGACGATAGGGATAAACAGCTGAGGACTGAGGAAAATGTATCTTTGTATGATGAACTTTTTAAACAATCCAGGAACAGTGCGAAGACTTCCAAGAAACTGCTCATTGTGGGCGATCAATTGGCCAGAAACTGCGCTAGAGTCTTACATAATTCAATGAAGAGCATAGGCTATATAGTTGAAGGAATTGTTAAGCCCAACACAGAGGCTGCAAATATCACAAGTAATATTTTCACTCAAACTATGGATCATGGACAAAGTGACTATGTAATTATTGTTTTCAGCACAAAAAACATAAGCAACCACAAAACATTGAACAGTTTTCTTAGAAATGTATTACCACTGGGTAAATTTACAAATCTAGTAATTCTTCTAAAGTCCGAGCCTGTAGATGAAGCCTTAGCAGTTCTATTGGAAAACAAAATAACTAGTTATATTAAAAATAACCCTAACTGTTCAGTGAAGTTATTAGTAGTAAAGAATGGTTTTCGCAAATCACTGGCAAACATCATAAGAAGTCATGTGCAGACGAGCTGCTCTACCCTCAAAAGAAACGTTTTGTTATCGCCTCCAATAATTCCAATTTATAAAATGGAACGTCGAGTGCATTGCAACAGTGAGAGTACTGGTGCTTTTTTACTGGCCAGTGGGAATCCGATACTAATCACCTAGTACGACATGATTCGGGTAAACAGAATGTATCGAAAAATTCCTTATCACACGCTCGCGCCTGTCAGGTGCGCACGAATGATTGTCGGTATAAACTTCTACATTTAAACGTACAGTGTTTGAGAAACAAGGTTGATGAACTTGAGTTGGTGGCAAAACAGCACAGTTATGACTTTCTTTGTTTGAATGAGCATTGGTTGACTTGCGATGAGATTAATACTCTGAATATTTGTGAATATATGAATGTGTCTAGTTTTTGCAGGTCAAGCAAAATCCACGGTGGTGTTTGTATTTATGTCAATAATAAGTTTAGTGCTAAGCCTTTGTGTGACAAAGTTTTAAACATTTCTGAGGAGTTACACTTTGAGGTTGCTGGTGTCACCTGTTTGGATGGCACACAAATTCTAACCATATATAGATCACCAAATGGAGACTTCAATATATTCTATAATAAGCTTCAAATACTACTTAGTACTTTAGACTATAAGCAAAATATAATCATATCTGGTGATTTTAATTTTAAATTTAACACTCACGACAAGCATGCCAATGTGATGTGTGATATTTGTGTTTCTTTTGGACTGTATCAGACTGTGAATGTGAATACTAGGCAGAATGCTTGTCTAGATAATATTTTCACCAATATAAACATGTCAAGCATAGTTGTAGAAGCCTTTGATACATGTTTTTCTGACCATTTAGGTATTGCATTTCATTTTAATTTGAAAACTCTAAAACTTGTTAGGAAGAGAATAAACTACAGGCCTGTCACTGATGAAGGTCTTTTCAAGTTATACAGTAAAATTGAAACAGTCGACTGGATCTTTTTGTCTGATATTAGTTTACCACTGACCACTAAACTCGAACGATTCATGAACATCTTAACAAATAATATCGCTGAGTGCTTGCCAATCAAATCTAGGTTAGTATCAGAGGGTTGTCGCAACAAAATCAACTGGTTTGATCACGAATTGGCTCATATGAGAGAGACTTTGGAACTAATAACACAAATTAATAAAGATAATCCCCAAGTAGTATCAAAGAAGGAGATTAATGTCTTCAAATCGAAGTACCGATCAGAAATCAGAATTAGGAAAAAAAATGCTCATGATAAATATATACGTAGAGCGTCAGATAAACAAGCAGCTATGTGGAACGTGATTAAATCCAATGGTGTGCAATCATCAAAAGCACATTCGTCTACTCTCAGCGCGAATGATTTAAACTCTTTCTTCGTCAGCATTGCTGATACCATTATCGCTGAAATTCCAGCTACCCAGTCGAACTTCAAAGATTTTATACAGACTAGTGATACACTACATTTCAACTTTCGAACTGTTTCATTCAATGATGTTCGAGACGCAATCAAAAGCTTAAAGAATTCTAAAAGTAAAGATCCATATGACATCGATGTTAAAATTATGAAGACCTTAAATAACTTGTTAGTATATCCTATAACAAAATTGATAAACATGTGTATAGAAAATAATGTCTTTCCTGCCTTATTAAAACTTGCAAAGATTGTGCCACTCTTCAAGAAAGGCTGTGAGAATGATCCATGTAATTTCAGACCCCTCTCTATAATACCAATTATAGCAAAAATTTTCGAAATTCTTCTGAAGAATCAGATATGTGAATACTTCGAAGGTAACAATTTATTCTGTAACAACCAGTTTGGATACCGTACCAACAGATCAACGAAAGCAGCAATAAACAATTTTATCAGTTTCATCAACAAATGTCTGGAAGATAACATGTTTGCCCTCGCTAACTTCTATGATCTTACAAAAGCATTTGATTGTGTCCAACATCACATTTTGATTCAAAAGTTGTCGCTGTATGGTTTTAGTAATAATAGCCTGTCCTTAATTGCGTCTTATTTATCAGATAGAAGACAGTATGTTAGTTTTCAAAATTGTTTATCCAACAATGTGCATATTAAGCACGGAGTTCCCCAAGGAAGTGTCTTGGGACCGATTCTTTTTTTGATCTACATCAATGATCTGCCAAACTGTAGCATCAATCAGTATATATTATTTGCGGATGACACGACATCAATATCCTCCAATAGTAACTTTAATCATGTATTGCTCGATTCTCAGCAGCATTTTGACAACATTCAAAACTGGTTAAATGCCAACAGTTTGTCAATCAACATAGCGAAAACTCAATCTCTTCTACTCAGTACTCGTCCACATAGAAGTGATTTAGTAGAGCCCGTGAAATTTCTTGGAGTGATTATTGATGCAAGCTTAACTTGGGAATCACACATCACTTCTTTATCAAAGAAGTTATCTAAAATAACATATATGATACGTAGTTTAAATACCTACGTAACAAAATCGACTTTAATGACAGCCTATTATGCTTACTTCCAATCTAACTTGCAATACTGCATACTGATTTGGGGACATTCATGTCATGTATCGAAGGTGTTTGCTGTTCAGAGACGATGCTTGAGAATAATAGCAAACTTATATTTCAGACAGTGTTGCAAGACGACATTTATCGACCTAAAAATTTTAACTGTGCCATGCATATATATACTGGAATGTCTGATCCACGTTAAAAATAATTACGATGATTACAGAACTCCGAAAGAGATTCACAAATATAACACAAGGTTCAACAATGAATTAATACCAGAGTACACAAGACTTTCAAAAACTAGACACGGAAGTAATTATTTCGGTGTGAAATTTTTTAATGCGCTGCCCAAGTTTTGTCAAACACTCAACTCAACCATTTTTAAAGCAACTGTGAAAAGATATTTAGTGACGAAAGCTTTTTACAGCATAGATGAGTTTTTAAATAATGATTTTACCGACTTTGTTCCATAATTGTTGACTATTTATTACTTTGTTTTCGTTTGTTTTTTTATGTGTTATTTTTGTATTATATTTTATCGTTCTCCAGACGTGTGTAAGGACATTTGAGTACAAACATGAAAAAATGATTAGTATTTCATAATTTTTTAACCATCTTATTTTATTGTTCCTCTAAATTTTAAAACCGTTTTATCAAGTTTTTTTTACCTTTTATTGCCACTTTGTGTTTTACGTTTGTCTTATTTTCGTATTGTTTGTTACTTTTACTTACTCTTTTATGTTCTACTTTAAATGACCTGTGCAAACACATTTTTGTGTAATAGTACCAATAAATTATTATTATTATTATTATTATTAAAGCTGCTAGTGAAACAGAAAGGTGTGAGATAGAAGAAGAATAAAGGCGGCATTTACATTTAGCTAGCTTGGCATATGAGGAAAAGAAGTGTGACAGAAACAGAGGTAAGGATAACCCAGGTTTATTTGTGGTTAGCTTTGACCTCCAAAAATGTCTCCCTACACCGTTACTAAAAAACAACTACTTCTTCTACAAACGGAAACTATGGACATTGAACTTGACTCTTTTTTAATCGAATGCTACAAGCAACTCGGCCATCTGTTACTTATGGAACGAAACTCTTGCAAACCGTGGTGGTCAAGAAACTGCATCTAGTATATGCTTACTTGAAGAATCTTATAGCATCAGAGAAATTATATTTTATAGTGACTGTTGCCCAGGCCAAAACAGAAACATATATCTTGCTGTAATGTTCCTACTTAGTATTGAACACTTCAGGAACGAAGGACGACATGTGACTATAACACATAAGTTTTTGGTTCCAGGACACACCCATGTGGAAGCTGATACGATTCATGCAGCCATAGAAAAAACGAAAAGAGTAACTACTGCCAAGATTGGTTCGAAGAAAGACTCCTATTATTGTCAACGAAATGGAGTAGAAGCAGTTTTTGAACTTCAAAGTAATGCTGACAAACTACTATCAACACAGAAAAGTCAACACCAATGGTGACACAGTACCATGGAGCAAGATATGTATGCTGTGTTACAGCTGTGACAGTCCAGGGATATTTTCTTACAAAACATCGTACGAGGCGGAATCTGCCTTTAAAGCTGCTGACTTAGTTCGTAAATCTAGGCATCCATCACAACCGCCATTGAGACCTATTTTCACGAAGCTTTTAGGAATTCCAGCTAACAAGCTGCAACACCTTAGAGACTTGATGCCTTACGTAGACCAAAGCAGCCGTCCATATTATGAACAGTTTGTCAATTCTCTAACTACATCATCAACTGCTGTTGATACTTTGAGTGATGTTAGTCGTGATGAAGATGAAACCTAAATATTATACTACTCTTCAAAGTAATGTATTTTCTCAAGAATAAAATTTTGCGTTTTCATTGTATTTCATTATGTATAATAATAAAAATGGCCAAAGTTGATGAAATATATTTTTTTTCAGTCGAAAAAGAGCCAATGTCATTTTTTTTTCAAGTTAGATTTGAAAAATTGTGAACATTTTAGTCTAGCTGTGAATATCATCTATTTGGTAGTAACTTTACGTAATGACAATTTATAATAATATGGAAACGAACACACAATTTTATGAAAACCTTCCAACCTAATTATCTCAAAACCATTGATTTTGACATTGGCCCTTTTAGAACCAAGCCACAGATATAATATGTAATAACTATGCACGTGCAAGAAATGCCGTATAACAGTAGGTTAAGTCATTTGATAATTTAAAGATATTTTTATGTCTTAAAATTGATTCCTGTGTCGCTCTCCATTAAGTGATATAACAAAGTGGTCGAGTTTTGTACGTAAATAAATAACTAATCGAATAAACAAGTAAATAGATATGTAAATAAGCAAATAAATTCATAAACAGGTATTGTTCGTTTGTCTCTCGTACACAATGTAGCTCAGCCGACGGAAATGGTAAATAATGTATAAGTCAGTATAGATTCTACTCTGGAGGCCTTATACCGACATGCTTGATAAATAAAGGTTGAACATGGAAATATTGCTAAAAATTAGCTGCAACGCTAACAGACAAATGACCTGAATGAGCCTGAATAGTGGCATCTAGCATTATTAGATACCTCTTACCTATCTCGCATGTTTTACAAGTTTAGATTCTAAGCGCCCGTGGAATGCAATGAAGCTATGCCATTGTGGATGCCGGATATAAAATAAATGAAGCTCTATCTGACGAATCGGGAGACAGATTGTTTGCGAATTCTTGTTCATGACTGAGAACACGCGGCTCTAATAAATCTCTACTAAAGAATTTTGTTTATCTCGAAGATGGAGATGGGCCGTAATATAGCGCGGTAGACAGGAGCGTATATAAAGAGTGAGTCCAAGGGGAACATCTAATTCGCCAATAATACAAAATACTGATTGAATTATTAACGGCTGTTTAGGTGACTATTTATCTGTGACTATTTATATCTTCTGAACTCATGCCACTGTAAACGATCAAGAAGATCCGAAACTTTACTTTAACAGTATGCCCTTACGCTTTGAGGTTTACAAATGCAAAATTACCATTTTCATCCGAGCGTGTGTATGTAGGCAAGAATAATTCGATTTGAAAGGACACAGTCCAACTGGTTCGATGGATTTTAACATATGAGGTGTCTCTACATTTGTCTTGACAATGCACGTGACACTGGTTATATAAAGACCATATAAAGTCCAAATGGCAGACGCCTCAACTTTGAAATTTCTATTTATCTACTTAGCCAATCCTGATGCCAAAGATGGTGTGGCTCTCGGAAATCTAGTGGGCGTAGAGAGCCTGTGCATTGAAAAATGTCAAAATAACCTGAGGCAATCCTCATACGCTTACAATTTTTCAAAGTCGATGCGACCACCTACCGCAAACAAATAATGACGTACTGGACGAAAACCTGTTTCCCCAAGGTATTCCTTTTCACTTATGTTTTGACATGTTTTGTAGGTTTATTACTTCGTGGTTTATGAGTATTGTCCAATCCAATATTTCTGCTTGCAACTCGTCCGGCGGTCAACATTGGAATTGTTAACAGTCATGATGACAGCAATGGAAAGAGAGGCTACATGCGCAGTACCTGCGCAGTGTACATATGAGAGAGATGCCTTATTCCCAGAACATGTAATTTGTTTTCGTGTACTAACTTACTTCATGGTTGACACTCTTGGCTTCATCCTCACTCTGAGTTTAACCTCATATCTCTAGTCTTCGTGCAATGAGTATGATAACACTTCATAAAATAAAGGTAGCGGATTTCAAACGAATATTTTTACTTTTCACATTCCTACTTCCGGAATTACAGCTCAAACAGGGACAGCAAAATGATATTGAATTCGTGGCCTACACACTGGATTCATCCACAGAATCAGTTTCCGCCCAGATTTCAGTTACGGAGGAAATTGTCAAAAATTTCTCTATAATGGAGTCCTAAACTTCAAAGCTTAACCAAAGACTAGTTGTACTAAGAGAAGACAGTTAGATAAGGCGAATAAATTGGAGAGAGGTGAGAGATATGACCAAAAACATGGCGTCTAAGCGTAGCGTTCTTTTTGAATGAATTCACTGACCATCACTTGTCGTGGAAGCATTTTTTGTTCAAATTTACTTTTGTTTGGACATTCATGGCTGGGATATTCGTCATCTGCATGTAGCCAACGAAATGTATTTTTTATTCAGTAAAGTTAGAATAATTCACACTTTTCTCAAGTGCTTTTCGGGTCATGCAGACAGAAGTGACTACCAAAACTTGTAAGTGGTCTATTTGACATTTGGTGCCCTACACGGAATACTACACTATTTAGTTTAGTAGCAAAAGAGGAGTGTTAGCTTGAAATTAAAATTCCTTCTAACCTCAAATTGCTTATTCGACCAATCCTCCGCGTATCTGACATGATTGTCAGTTATCTAGGCAGCTTGAACTTACAACTGCTTACTTGTTCCAGAGCCACCAAAAAGCATGAAATGGACTGAACTCCATGCAAATCAGTAAAAATTCAAGATTTTTTAAACATTTTATATCTGTTCGGCAGCACCGCCTCGAGTCACCTACAAGTGAAACGTGCGGATTCTTGGCAGATACATCTATGAGCGAATCACCAAACCGCGGAACGATGTCTTTTTAAACCAGTTACAGTCCAATATTTGATCGAAAAACTTTGGATACATCCCCTACTGACATATTATGTTGAAAACTCGTCAAATCATACGTATTTTGATGCTAAAGAGCAGTTTGCTGCTTAGCATCAAAATATGTAACAAAAAATGTGCAGTCTGCTCCCCTACCAGAAGACACCTAAGGTCAGTGGGCCGACTGACGGGTGATAAAGACATCCCTAGGGTCTCCTCTTGATTTAAATACTCTTTGATTCAATCACAAATTAAGTTACAGCTGAGCAGAATAGCTGAATGCAAAGTCAAGCAGCTGAAAAAAAAGGTTTCACCATGAAAACTTTCCATTTTCGTTCCCCTCCACAAACTTCGCTTCTATATACGCCCCTGGTAGGGTTACAGTAATAAAGGATGGCTCGAGAAAGATCCTTATTTACTTTTTTGATGAGTTCGTCCCAGATATTAAGTTGAAAAATTCCGATTTACTCTGACAAGTTACAAGCTATCTTAAACTCGAAACAGGATATAAAATGTACCTCTGACTTTTAATATATACCTTCATTAGATGCATTCCTCAGCCGTGTAATGCTGGCAGAAGGTAGCCCGTAAAATATTTTGCTATTATTTGGTGAATACTTGGCAAATACTTATGACGCAGCCGTTAGCTATATCTAATAATCCTGGAATTAATAATTAAGGTCTGGGGTTTACAAGTATATTTGAACCTTATAATATCCTTAAGAGACAGACACATGTACCTTTAGAGTTGCGTTTATGAAATTTTCTTGAGGACTCAATGCCGTTTAAGAAACTTCAGCAAAACGAAATTTTCGTATTTTAAGAATTATCAACGGGTTCAAAATTGAAAATTTAAAAGTGTTAAACTTTTGAGTATCTCCAAAAAGTTTTTAGGAGTTTGAAATAATTTTGGAGTCCGTGGTAATTGGAAATTTCTAGCACTTTCAGAACCAAAAATTAAGAAAGTTTTAAACTTTTTGAAAATCCTGAAAATATTGAAAATTTTTAATATGAAAATTTGGAATATGGGATTCTAGAATCTTGAAAACAAGAGAAAATTAAAATCCTATTAATCTGGAAGTGCAGAAAAGGACGCTGCATGAAACGTATGTGAAATAGGTCCCATTCGATCTATACAACAATTGAACAAAGTTTTTTATGGGACTAAAGCCGTCCAATTTACCTACAGAAAAGGTGAATACGTCGACTGTAGTTCTCAGAACAGATATTCTGAGAACTGTTTTACAGAAGACTGTATCTCAATTAAAAACATCTCAAAAAGGTGTTGGAGGATATCAAGTTGATCTGGACCATCATTCATATAAGGTCAATTATGGTCACGGTAATTTTTATACATTGATAATCAAATGGGACTGGCACGAGTTGTTCGAGAACTAAAAAAAATGATTCAAAAAGACATTTTGCTTGTCAAGGACACGGAAAAGTGTGCTTGTGTAGTTGTCTTGCAAGGTCAATTCAAGGTCATCTTGATTTTGTAGGCGAAAGATCATTAACGTGATCGTAGCTTTAGGGTGTTGTAATTTATTGATTATTAATTTGAGTGTTTTGTCTTGTATATCGAACGGTTTGGGTCAACTTTTAGGAAGGATAACGGACTCCAATCCCCTAGAGGGCGTATAAAAAACCACATGTGCCTAAGGCTCAGGTGCCAGATTCTCATCTGCTATAATGTCCATTGGTTATTGTATAATCATCAAGGGAGTCCTCCTAATTTTCACAAACTTGTAGATGAGACATCCATAGTTGACCCTATTGATTGAGTTTCTAAAATGTAAGTAAGCTGTGTTTATACCTTTTGCCCCATTTAGAAGCTACCTCGACGTTTGGCTCTTTCGACTTAGCTGCCAGCTCAAGCACTTCCCAGAAGCAATAACTGGAGCGTGGTATCTAGTAAGAAGAGCACCAGCTGATTTATAAAGATCTCCTAGAATCGTTACATGCTGCATTCAGATAGTTTATTCCAGGAATTTTAAAAATTGATTTTATCTACATCTTCAGCATTTTTTCATATCCGCATACCTCATCCCCCTATTTCTCGGAAACTATCATCATTTGATCGATTTGGTCTCGCGAGAACTATCGTATAGGAAGGTGAGAAATACAGGGTGATTCACAAGTCGTGACCAAAAATGGAACATCGTACACAGGACCACATTTCAAGGGGGGTCTCC